AGTCATGTCTGCGAGCGCCGTCTTGAGGCGCGGAGTGCTGGTGGCCATCCTGTGGTCCGTGGGCGACCCCTGGCAGATCTGACTCCTGCTCGCACAGGCCGCCGCCGGCGTCGTGAAGCAGGATCTGGAAGTGGATCCGACTCCAGATCAGATGAAGGAGAAGCGAGCGTGGATGTGCCTACATCTACGCGCACCTACGTGCCGTTCCTCGCGGGGATCGCAGTCTTCGGGTCGACGGGCGACGTCGTGGAGGCGCGAGGCAAGATCTACCGAATGTCGAGCAAGACGTACGGCAGCGAGTGGATGCCGGACCCCCTGGAGTTCTCAGACGCCGTGACGGAGGCCGAGCGGGCGGGGGGTCACTCCGCCGCCCGTCGCCTTCGAGGCAAGCAGGCGCTACCAACGGGGGGTCCGGCAGCTGGGGATTCGACAGCGATTCCGCCTGAGGTCTCGCTCGAGTTCGACAGCTTCAGGGATGTGAAGCCGTGCTACTGGCGCGTGCTCGCGGCCTCGGAGTCGACCCCCACGCACAAGGTGCTGAGCGGCTCGGCGATGGACTGGGCCCTCGTGACTGAGCTGTACGCCCTCGCGATGCGGGGGACGGAGCTGCTGGCACTGAAGGTGGACTCCGCCACGGACGGGGGCTCGGAGGTGGACGCCCGCGCGCTGCCGGTCGAGGAGGACGCCCACGGGATCCGGCGGCGGGACTTCCGGTCGGCGGTCGACGCCATGACGGAGACCGCCTGGCCCGGGTGGCCTGGCTGGGGCCTCGCACCATGCAGTGGGTGCTCCAGTTCATTCGGGAGCAGGGCGCGATCCCCCGGGCCAGGCACACGAAGTGGAAGCACGAAGCACGGCTGGCCCGGGGGGATCCTGGAGTTGGTGACCACGAGCTCGTGATGCGTGTGATCGAAACGGCCGTGGCCTACGACCAGCTGAATATCACTGAGTTGGCGTGCTTTGAGATTTTGTGCCATCGAGCTCAACTGTCAGAATGGCGGCATAAGGACCGACTGACTGGCGGGGCTAGCGGCCTGGACGACGAGTACGCCGACGACGAGCACTTGTACATGGGGTCTGGTGAGACGCGGGGCCACGTCATGGTGGCCCCGGCTTTGCAGGATCACATATCATCGGAAGTTCATCGTGAGCATTTGATTATGAAGGAGAGACGGAAATTGAAATATCAACGATTGATTGCACGGGGAGCTCCGCAGCAGTCGGGCAGTGGCAGTTCGACGGCGGATCTCCAGCGGAAGGTTCAGACACAGGCAGAGGAGTTGAAGAGGCCGCAGGCGCGGTCAGCACCCCACACGGACCCGAAGAAGGGCAAGGGGGGCGACCGCGGCGGCGGCCAGGGCAGCTGACCTTCTCGCGAGTACGCCCGTGCCCCGAGAGCTCCTCCCCCTTCCAGTGGGAGAGCCGGGGGCGCACTCGGCGCGGCCGCAGGGAGTCTCGCGCTCCGTGGGGCCACGCCTCCGCCGAAAAGCTTTTTGTGAGGACTGGGGGGAAGAGATCTGCCAGGCCGTCAATTCACTTTATTCAGTCAACGCGGAGCCAAAGGAGCTTCATCACCCGTCCCAGGCGCGCGCGGAGGCCGCCCACCACTTCTCAGAGGTGGTCAAGTCCTTCGGAGCCCCTGACGAGACGCCCGCGGCAGCCTTCGATGCGCTGCGCGGGTCCGACCCCGGCTACGGCGACGTGGCCGCCAAACGCATGCCCTACCAGCGCGACGAGGTCGCGCTACCTGCCGACGGGCGCTTCACTGAAGGTGAGGATAACCTGTCGGGCGAGGTTTTGGGTCAATGGTTGGGTTGGCGCTCATGCCTCTTGCGAACAGAGATGGTGACATGTGGTGCTGTTATTCCTTACTCAGACCCAAAGTTGATCAGGTCTTCGATTCACTATGCTACCTCCATCCTTGATATTTTCAGAGCTGGGCTCATCAGTTTCGGCGAGATACGGGGGCACACAGTGGGCGCATTTTTCGTTAGCAAAGACGAGGGGCGCGCCTTGCGCTTGATTCTTGATACTCGGAAGTGCAATCAACGCTTCAGAGAACCCGACTATACGCAGCTACCTACCGAGGGAGCGTGGCAGGGCGCGCAGTTGGACGACAGTTGTGACCTCCACATGGCGCAGCTGGACATCTCCAACGCCTTTTACCGCATTCGACTCCCGCCTGGTCTGCATGAGCATGTCGCTCCACCTCGGCCCAGTCGCCAAGCCTGGCTGTCCGTCGCGCCCGAGTTGGCCCACGTGTTGCCTGCCGGCAGCTACGTGTCTCCGCTGCTGCGGGTTCTGCCGACGGGGTGGTCGTGGAGCCTGTACTTCTGCCAGAAGATGGTGGAGGGCGCGGTGTTCTCCGTCGGCTTCCAGCCCGGCCAGCTCATCCAGGATGGGCGCGGGGTCTCGAGGCTCACGGCGGCGAGCACGGCGGTGGGGATCTACGTCGACGGCGTCGCGGTCTTCAGCGGGAAGAGGGGGCTGGCGCTGAGGGGGCGTGAGAAGGTGGATGAGGAGCTGATGCGGCGCGGGCCCATCGCGAAGGCCGCGGCGCCGCCGCGCGAGATGCAGAGCTTCACCGGCCTCGCCTTCAACGCCGCCTCGGGCAAGATCAGCTTATCTCGCAAGAGGCTGCGGCGCTTGAGACTGGCCCTCTTGCGCGCCGCGGACTTGGGCTCCATCTCGGGAACGCAGCTGCGCCGCCTGGCGGGGCGCGCCACGTGGGCCGCCATCTTCCGGCGCGAGCTCCTGGCCGTGTTCAGCGCGGCGTACCGCTTCATGGACAAGGCCGGGTCCCGACGCTGGCGGATGTGGGGCTCAGTGGAGACGGAGCTCCGTCTCGCGGTCTCGCTTGTGTGCCTCGCGGAGGTGGAGACCAGGATGCCGTGCGCAGACATGGTCTACGCCGCTGACGCGTCTGGCGGCTCCGACGGCGACTACGGCGGCTACGGCGTGGTCAGGCGGGCGCGGCAGCCCGCGGATGTCGTGACCACGGTTTCCGCCTCCGAGAAGTGGCGGTACCGCATCGAGGAGGAGGTCGCGGCCCGCGAGGCCGCCCTGGGCCCACCACCGCCTCCTGGCCGTCGGCCACGCCAGGCCCGACGGGGGGAGGCGGACTTCGAGGCGGTCGCCCGCGAGCTCATCGGGCAGCCCCGCGACTGGCAGCTGGCGGTGAGAGGGCGCTGGGCCTGGCAGCAGGGCGTCGGGCGCGCGGAGGGCCGAGCGCTCGTGCTCGGCGTCCGCCATTGTTTGAGAAATCTGTCGTCGAGGAATCAGCACCATCTGTTTTTGGTGGACAACATGGGAGTCGTGTTGAGCGTAGGGAAGGGGAGATCGTCCGCTTTCGGCACTAATCGCACGTGCAGGGAGTTGCTTGCTCTGAGCATCGCCGGGGACACTCGCATCTCGAGCCGATGGATCCTGAGTGAGTTCAATCCTGCCGATGCTCCGTCTCGATTCCCCGGAGCCGTCGGGCTCGGTGCCTTTCGGGGCCGGCGCTCTGCCTGGTTCGGCGCGCCTCTTCATGCTGCGGCGGCCGACCAGTATAGACCGCTTGACAAGGCCATCGACGCCTACATCGTCGAGCGCCACGGGGACTCTGCTGCGGCCAGGGCTGGCGAGAGCGGGCCCAGGCTGGGCGGGCCTCAGGGCGAGCCAGCAGGCCTCTGGCAGCAGGTAAACGCGGCTGCGCCGCTGGGCGCCCCTGGCCCCGCTGCCGACGAGAAGGACGACTCTTCCAGCTCGGCCTCGAGCGGCTGCTGCGACTTCGAGTTCGACGGGGCCCCCGCCGAGTTCGGGGGCCAGAGCTCGAGCTCAGGCGGCCCGAGCTGTGCGAGCCCAGGCGCGGAAGAGGAAGTTCACGGCGCTGAGTGGGCAGGCGCGAGCACGGGGCCGCGCGCTCCTGGAGCTGAGCCGGGCCTCGACGGCGGTGCAGAAGCAGTGCCAGGCAGCGCTGGGGAAGTTCGATGCATGGTGCCACGTTCGAGGGCGGCCGCGCGGAGCTTGCCCGAGCTGGGCGCGGCGATGGCGGAGTTCTTGGACGAGGAGCTCTTCGGCGGCTTCAACCACGACGTGGGCGACAAGTTGCTGGCCGCGATGCCCCTCGAGAGGCCCGAGCTGCGGCGGCGCGGGCAGGACCTGCTGCCGCGCGCGCGGGGCGCCATCGCCGGCTTCCGCAAGCGGGCGCTGGGCCAGGCGCGGGCCCCGCTGCCGCGGGAGGGCCTCCTGGCGCTGGTCGGCGCGGCGGCTTGGGGCGGCCGCCTCGAGCTGGCGCTCGCGCTGACGGTGGCGTGGCACGCGTACCTCCGGCTGCCGTCGGACCTGGTGGCCACGGTGCGCGAGTCGCTGGTGCCGCCGCCGCCCTCGATCGGGAGCCGACGCTGGGGGCTGCTGCTGCGCCCCGGGGAGCTTGGCGTGGTGAGCAAGACGGGGGGGGTCGACGAGGGGATGCTGCTCGACGACCCTGTCTCCGAGAAGCTGGGGGGGACCTTGGCGGCGCTGCGCGAGCGGGCGCCCGGAGGCGGCCAGCTCTGGAGCTTCGACGCCGGCCACTTCCGAGCGGAGTTCGCCCAGCTGGCGGAGCTGGCAGGGATGCCCAACATCCACGCCTACCAGCTCAGGCACGGGGCGGCCAGCTTCGACGTGGCCACCGGCGTCCGCGACCTCGCCGCAGCGCAGCGGCGGCCCAGACATGCCGACAGCCGCAGCACCAAGAGGCGCGAGAGGCACACTCGCTACTGGGCGGAGGTGGCCAGCCTGCCCCAGGGCATCGCCGACTACGGCAGGCTCCTGCTGCCGCGGTGGGTCGAGCTGGTGGAAGGCCGCTGGCGGCCTCCCGCGCCGCCGGGCGCCGCGAGCGCCTCAGCGCTGGCGAGGTCTGGTGGCGAGGCGACGCCGCCCAGGCCCAGTCCCCGCCGCCGGCCGCGAGCGTGCAGAGGTACCTGCAGACAGCTTTGCAGGAGTGCCTCAAGCGCAGCCGGCGCAGTCAGGTGTTCTTGGATTTGTTTTCAGGCGCAGGCGGCGTGGCGGCCAGTGTTCGGAGATTTTCGAGCTGCGCCTGTCTCAGCATCGATGTGGAAGATAATCCAGCTCTTGACCTTTGTCGGAAAGCCGCCTGGGACGTTATCGTAGGTTGGATAGGCGCCGGCCCAGTCAGAGGCGCGTGCGTCGCTTCCCCTTGTTCGACCTGGCCCTCGGCCACCCGCAATTTTTTCAGAAACGCCAGAGATGTTTTCGGGGGGCCCGGCCTGAGCCCCGAGTCGCTTCGCAAAGTTTCATCGGCAATGCGACCCTCCTTGGCACCGCGCGGGCCATTCGAGCTCGCTTGAGCCATGGGATCCCCGTCGTCGCCGAGAACCCTCACAGCTCTTGGGCCTGGCAGGCCCCTCCTCTGGCTGCTCTGCTCTCCTATCGGGCTTGTAAAGTTGCGGTCGCCGGTTTTTGCCAGCTGGCAAACCGTATCGAAAGAGGACGCGGTTTGCCGCGTGGAATGTCATAGACCCTCCCGGGGCCCTCTTGAGGCGGCGCGCAGGTCTCGGTGGCAAGTGCTCTGCCACCCTTCGGCCTCATTGCATCCTTGAAGGGGCTGGTGAGAACGCGTCAGATCGACGCGCCGCGTTGGCCGAGAAGTATCCAACGACGGTGGCCTTCTCGGTCGCTCGCTGGCTCGTCGCCTCAAGCGGGGCTATCATCGGTTCGAATCTCCGCAGGCTCGCAGGTATATCTCTCTAGACTTTTTGGAAATCGGCCATGGCCCGTGCATATTACGGGAACGGGAGGAGAGGCGCCGCTTCTTTCACTGCGTCGGAGCGAGGCGTTTGCATCTACAAAACAGTGCTGGCCATCGTTGTGCATCACAGGCTGGATTTTCTAATCTGTGTTGTGTGCTCCCGGTGGCCCTTAAATACAGCCCCCAGAGCCCAGCCAGTCCGCGTGAACCCTGAATGTCTGGAATGCAGGGGGACGGAGTTCACTCCGCATCCATTTCCGCTCAAGCTCTTCCTCCTCCTCCCCTCCACCAACCTTTGCATAGTACTTTGAAACGTGAGAGGGCGGAGAGGCGCCTCTTCTTTCACTGCCTCGGAGCGAGGCGTTTGCATCTACAAAACAGTGCTGGCCATCGTTGTGCATCATATATACATATATAGAAATGTATCCGAGGTCAAGGGGTGAGATCGAAGTGGAACGGAGAGTCCCCCGACGGGGAAATCGGTTTCGGTTTCGTGTTCGTGCGTGCCGTGCGTGCGGGCGAGGCGAAGCTGCGTGGGCGGGCGAGAAGAAAGTCTCCTCCGGCTGCGGCGCGGCCGGAACAAATGTTCCCTTTCCGGGGGCCGGTGCCGCGCGGTGTCCCGCCGGTGTCCCGCCTCCGACTGAGGCGCGGTCGGACCAAATGTTTCTTTTCCGGGGGCCGGTGCCGCGCGGTGTCCCGCCGGTGTCCCGTCGGTGTCCCGATGATGATGTTGATGATGCTGATGATGATGATGTCGATGCTGTTGATGATGATGATGATGATGATGATGATGGTGATGGTGGTGGTTATGATGGTGTCCCGATGATGGTGATGATGATGTCGACGATGCTGTTGATGATGATGATGGTGATGGTGGTGATGATGATGGTGTCACGATGGTGATGATGATGGTTATGATCATGATGATGATGTTGATTATGATTTTGCTGAGGATGATGATTTTGGTGTCCCGATGATGATGATGCTGATGATGATATTGATGATCCTGACGATGTTGATGAGGCTAAGACGATGGTGTCCCGATGATGCCGATGAAGAGGATGATGGTGTCCCGATGCTGATGATGAGGTTGGTGATGCTGCTGTTGATGATGATGGTGGTGATGATGGTGTCCCGATGATGAGGATGATGTTGTTGATGCTGATGATGACGATGGTGGTGTCCCGATGATGATGTTGATGGTGATTATGAGGTGATGATGGTGGTTTTGATGATGATGGCCCGATGATGGTGATGATGATGCTGATGTTGATGATGATGATGGTGTCCCGATGATGATGATGATAATGATGATGATGGTTACGATGATCATGGTGTCCCGGTGATCAAGATGATGGTGTTGATGATGCTGTTGTTGATGATGATGAAGGTGTCCCGATGATTACGGTGAGGAGGAGGATGATGCTCATGATGGTTATGATGATATGATGCTGGTGGTGGTGTTCCGATGATGAGGATGTCGATTATGATGGTGCCCCGATGGTGATGATGGTGATGGTGTTGATGGTGACGATGATGGTGTCCCGATGATGATGGTGATGATGACGATGTTGATGATGATGGTGATGCGGATATGTTGATGGTGTCCCGATGATGATGTTGATGACATTGATGACGATGTTGTTGATGATGATCATTACGACGTTGGTTGTGGGATCGATTGTGAGATCGATCGTGCGATCGATAACGATACCGGCTGTGAGATCGGTAGTGAGATCGGTAGTGAGATCGATCGTGAAATCGATTGTGAGATCTGTAGTCAGATCGATTATGAGATCGGTTGAATGAAATAGATCGAATGATATCAATTGTGATATCGACCGGGTGAGATCGATCGAGCGAGACCGATAGCGAGATCGATCGTGATATCGGTAGTGATACCAATCGAGTGAGACGTTGGTACCTCCCCCCGAGCCTCTTTATCACCCGAAACGGTGGTCGTATAGGTATATATGCGCCCGTCGTGGCCCCCAGTCTTTTTTGCCCTCAGCGGCCCCATTGCTGCCCTTCGTGGCCCCGCAGCTGCCCTCAGTGGCCCCCTCGCTGCCCTTTGTGGCCCATCTATACGCGTTTCCTGCCCCCCAGTCGCTCGTGCCCTCAGTGGCCTCATTGCTGCCCCTCGCGGCCCCAGTGTAGCCCTTTGTGCCCCACCCCCCCCCCGCTGCCCAATGTGGCCCCCTCGTTGCCTGTTGTGGCCCATATTTTCGCCGCTCGTGGCCCCCAGTCGCTCGTGCCCTCAGTGGCCCCATTGCTGCCCTTCGTGGCCCCAGGTGCTGCCTACGGTGGCCCCGCTGCTGCCCTCTGTGGCCCAGACGCTGCCCTTCGTGGCCCCCCGTCGCTTGCGCACACAGTGGCCCCGTTGCTGCCCTTCGTGGCCCCAGCGTAGCCCCTCGTGGCCCCTTCGCTGCCCTGTGTGGCCCCGTCAATGCCCTCAGTAGCCCCCTCGCTGCCCTTCGTGGCCCCGCTGCTGCCCTCAGTGGCCCCCATCGCTGCCCATTGTGGCCCCGTTGCTGCCCTTGGTGGCCCATGTATACGCCCTTCGTGGCCCCCGCTCGCTCGTGCCGTCAGTGGCCCCATTGCTGCCCTTCGTGGCACCGCTGCTGCCCCTCAGTGGCCCCATTGCTGCTTCTCTCGTCCGCTGCTCCCTCCCTCTTGTCCCTTGCCTCCCTCCCTCCCCCCACTCATGTCCACCTCGTTTTTTTTTTTTTGTTGTGTTTCTCTCTCTCTCTCTCTCCATCTCTCTTTCTGTCGGTTTCTCTCTCTCTCTCTCTGTCCTTTCTCACTTCTTTTGCTCTTTCAGGGGCTGCGCCCAATACGCGTGGCAGGTCAGGAAGATGTACCCCCCAGAGGGGGTACGATCAAAGACGAAGAGGGCGGGCATCGGGGGTTTGGGATACATGGTCCAGGGTTTGGGCGCCCCTCCCCCAATGCTAATGCCATCGCCACGCCCCCCCCCCGCCCCCCGCGCGATGCCCCCCCCCCCCCCCCCCCCTGTGGGCGTGGGCGTGGCGTGGTGGCCCTCCCCCTGTGGGGGTGGTGGCCCCCCTGTGGACGCACGCACGCACGCGCACGCACGCACGCACGCACGCACGCACGCACGCACGCACGCCCGCACGCCCGCACGCACGCACGCATGCACGCACGCACGCACGCACGCACGCCGCCGCCGCCGCCGTCGTCGTCGTCGTCGTCGTCGTCGTCGTTGTCGTCATTGTTGTTGTCGTCGTCGTCGTCGTCGTCGTCCCCCCCCGATCCCATCTGGGGGGGGGCCCGAGGAATCCTGGGACCATGCCATCTGGGGGGGGGGGCCCGTGGGCCCGGAGCCCGGGATCATATACGTGGCGAGCTACGCGCGAGCAGATAAGATCGAACAGTCTTAAACTGATTGTTGTTGTTGTTGTTGTTGGTGGTGGTGGTGGTGGTGGTGGTGGTGTTGTTGTGCGTTGTCGTCGTCCCACCCGCGACCCATCCGCGACCCACCCCGCGACCCACCCCGCGACCCACCCCGCGACCCACCCGCGACCCACCCAGGACCCACCCGCGACCCACCCCGCGACCCACCCCGCGACCCACCCCGCGACCCACCCTCAAGGGAGGAGGAGGAAAAACCACCCGGACCCGACAATTGACGTTTACTAAACGGCCCTGGGCGTTTACTAAACAGCCCTGCCCTGTTCGATTCATTCCTTGTGTGCGTTTACTAAACGGCTTCGCTTGTCGGGGTGATTATTGTGGGGTGGGTGCTCTGCCCTCTACACCCGCGACCCAACAACGACCAATTTGCGACCCACCCGCGACATTCCCGCGACCTGCCCACATTGGTTTAACTAAAAAATCGGCGCCTGCGGCGGGCTCGCCGTATAATTTGAAACTTTGGCCCCTCCTGCAGGCTTCTCCAGAGTCTCGCAAACTGCCGACGTCCCCACCGCCCCCTCACTCTTATCCGCGTCTGCGGGGTGCTACGTATTCAAGATATTATTGACGCTTCGCGTATCCCCACCAGCCTACCGTCGCCTGAGTCAGTGGAGTTCTGCCTTCGAGCACGCGGTGCTCCGTGAGTGAGGCCCCCCTTTTTCCTCTTTCCGTCTTCTGTCGCCCCTTCCCGCTCTGCCCGTTTTCCCCAATTTGTTCTGCATGTTGCACGAATTATCTGGCTCTCTGCCCCAGTTAGCCTGATTGACACGCCCTCTGGACTTTTCCTTGCGGGCCGCAGATCAAAAAAAGTCCCCCCACCAGCCC